CACTATATAGGACAGGCCAGTCTTCCACAACCTCCAGATTGGTTGGATTACAACTCCCATTCTCCTAGGGGACTGGGATGATGGGCATCGTCGTACAACCACTTAGTAGGAGGAAGGCCTCTCAAACCTCTGCTCTCACCTTTGGCCGCTTCCACTGGATACCCTGAATCCTCGACTTGTAGAACAGCGAGTCGTCGTTGGCTGGGAACAGTGGGTCTTCGAAAAGCACCTTCCTCCGTTGGCAGTCCTTCTTCAAGGCCGCGTAGCGCTGGTTTTCGTATGGCTTTGCCGAGGAGAACATCCTTCCAGGCAGCCCCCTAGAAGGACCCACAGCAAAAGAGGAGGAGACCAACCATGAGTAAAAAAGCAGATTTCGCCAAGAAACCAGAAAGGGACTGCTCCTCAGCAACACAGCGCATGCTCTGCAGAAACAGGGTCTAATCCTGCTCGGCCCCCTTTTTCTAAAAATGGGGGGGAAAAAGCTTTTGCTTGCAAGACTGGGAAAAGCAACCAATCCACCCTGGGAGGGGAAAAAAAATTTTTTTAATGGCCCACTCACTAATTCTAATTTGGGGTCTCCAAAGCTGCATTTTAGCACAACTCTGTGGTTGAGGCATCCGGCTGGAAAGCCAGAAGTTGGGAGTTCGATTCCCCCCACCTTGACACCAGGTTGGACTCGATAATCCATAGAGTCCCTTTCCAGCTCCGCCGTTCTAAGGTGACTACGATTCCTAAGGAACACCTCAAGCATCCACAGGAAAGCTCAAGTCTCGCTCTCTCTACTCACGAGTAAGCTCAAGCACCACAGCTTCACAAGCAGCAAGCTGCAGCACAATGCAATGCAATAAACCTCCTCCTGGGCTTTAAATTGGCTCCGATCTGTTTCCTGTTTTAACTTAGGGCCACTAGACATTTAATAGTCCCAAGAAATTAGTATGTCTAAAATTAACGGGAGGGGGGGGGTAGATAGAGAAAATACAACCCTGAAAACGTACATGGTACTTTAAACATGAGCTTTGAGTACGGAATTCCCCAGCAGAGTCTGAAAGGAAGGTCAATATAGAATAACCCTGCCTCGTTAAAGTATGTCTTCTTTGTTTAGCTGACAGTTAAACAAATGATAAGGATGTAAAAAAAACAACTGAGAAAAAACTAGTGACTTAAAATGCGAATAGAGAAAATTGGAACATGACCGCATGAGTTCACCAGCACTGTAGGATCGTGGCATTGTTCCCTACCCAATAAAAAAGTACCCTAGCAAATAAGAACAGAGTCAAAATATAAAACAAAGGACTTGCTCCCTTACGAGTTTGCTACTTTAGCAAAAGCAATAGAGATTTCCATTAAAATCTGTATTTATAGAAATCAGCCACTTACAACACTGGCAAAATTCAGAGGTTTACAACTGAAGGGAAAAGTTAACATCTCAGAGAAATTTAAATGAGAGGCAAGATACACACAGCACTACACACAACAGATACCGACAACGCAGATCACAACGGACTGTCACGTATTTCTGCTTTTTGATTGTGCCTTTTAAAGGCTATAAGCTCCTGTATTTTTGGACTGAAATAAATTCTTGTCTGTAAGTTTGATAACTAAACGTTTATGACTGAAATCTATTTTTTCTAAAATAAAAAAAATAAATACATTGCAGACAGACTTTATTTCTAACATTTATATACTGCCTCATTTAGTGGAGACCACTATTCTGGGCAGTCTTACACCATCAAATAAACTTTAACCCCCCTCAGTTCACACAGACATACCCCCTCTGCCCAAAAAAACCCAAAAGTAATGAAGGGAAACAGGCAACAAACCACTAACACACACACACAAATAAATAAGCAAGCTAAAAACTAAGGGACATGGTGGCGCTGTGGGCTAAACCGCAGAAGCCTCTGTGCTGCAGGGTCAGAAGACCAGCAGTTGTAAGTTCGAATCCACGCGACGGAATAGCACCCGTCGCCTGTCCCAGCTCCCGCCAACCTAGCGGTTCGAAAGCATGCAAATGCGAGTAGATAAATAGGGACCACTTCGGTGGGAAGGTAACAGCGTTCCGTGTCTAAGTCGCACTGGCCATGTGACCACGGAAAGATTGTCTTCACACAAACGCTGGCTCTATGGCTTGAAGAGCGGGATGAGCGCCGCCCCCTAGAGTCGAACAC